GTTTCGTGAACCAGCTGTTCTGGTCCTCCAGGTCTGGGATTATGACAGGATTTCAGCGAATGACTTTCTAGGTATGGTATGGTCTGCTGGGAGTGGGGTGGCTGTCCCTCACCTTGCTGGAGTATTACAGCATTTTCCTGGGGGTCCAACTCTTCAATAAAAGACACCAGATGTGCCAGATCAAGCTCTTCAGCTCAGCAGTAACCTGGGCTGGCTTTTGACATGTGAGTGATAGGCAGAGCATGGTGGTGCACAGCTGCCCCATGGAAACACATTGAGCTGGCATGCTTGTCCCAGGGCCTTGCTGGGACTACACCCAACAAGCACCTTGTACCTCCATGTGATGCTTTCAGTGGTGATTTGTTCAGCAGTGCTACTTGGGCACTAAAGAAAGTGTTAGAGAGCAATGCCAGTGCTTCCTGGCAAGCAGAGTCTCAGGAATGTTTAGGCAGGAAGGGGTCTGCAGTCTATTGTAAGCTGTCTGCTGCAAGTAGGGAGATGCAATGTAGGTCAGGTTGCTCAGAGCCTTGTCTGGGGGAATTTTGACAATCTCCAAGAGTGGAGATGCCAGCATCCCTCTGGGCCCCTCTTCTATGCTGCACCATTTTCATCATTCTCAAATTGCTCTACCTATCTCTAATTAGAGTTTTCCTTGCTGCAGCTTGTGCCTGTTGCCTTACGTGATCTAGTTAGCTGACACCTCTCTTGTGTTTGGGGGTCCAAAAATGAACACAATACTGATACACAGTCTCACCAGAGCTGAGCAGGGGGGAATTCCCATTTCCCTTGGTTGCTCGCCAATACAGACCAGTATGTGATAAGACCTACTTGCTGCAAGGCCTGAGTGCTGAACTGGGGCAGAAGCTCCTTCCAAGGAGACAGTAGAAGGCCAAACAGGGGAGTGAACTGAGGCTGTTTCAGGTATAGGTCAGAGGTGAAAACCTCAATAAGTTTTCCAGATTTTACAATTCCTTATTAAAGTCTGCAGGAACAAGGGGAGAAGAGGAGCTTGGTGTGTGAGGAGAGCAGGGTGGAACATGGCATTGTTTTCACAATAACCCACTGTACCACATGCAAGCCAAACTGGCCACATCAGACTGAGGAGACAAGACCTGTAGCTTCTGCCTCTTAATCTCCAACTCTTGGACTGGTCCTTTCCTATGCTGAGCTTCGTGTTCTCCACCTATAAATGTGCAATACACTGTTAGACCATTGCAGCAGCTGGGACATGCTAGTGGTGGTAGGAGCATGGCTGAGACAAGCCAACTGGTACATGAGATTTACCGCAGGGTTTCACCATGAGCTTTTCTCTTTATGGTGCCTGCAGGCTCCATCGAGCTGAAGCTGCATGACATGGTGCGGGCAGCCAAGAGCTCAGAGCATTGCACCATCAAGATGGCAAAGGAGAATGCTACACCTCGCTTCTCCATCTTCCGAAACAAGCGCATGCGTGGCTGGTGGCCCTTCATCAGACTTGAAGATCAAGAAGACAAGGAAAGAGAGGAGAGGAGAGCCAAGCAGAAAAGGAAGAAAAAGAAGTGGAGCAGCTCTGTCAAACAAGAAGACATTGAGTTCACAGACTCCATTGGGAACAAGTACCTCCTGACGGTAAGGCAGGGCATTAGCAGAGGTGAGCAGAGAGCCAGTGACATGCCTTTTCCATGACATGGCTACCTGTCTTGTGTGCACATAATCTGCAGAGGCAGCAATGGCCTAGTTGCCCAGAACGTCATGTAGGATCTTGGGGACCTGTCCCATCTGCTGCAAGTCCAGTGTTTTATCTACCCAGAGGTGCCAGCCAGAGTGGTGTGCTGGTGGTGTCTTCACGTCTTCTGAGCTTCCTGTAGAGCAGTTCTCAGCAAGAGGAGCAATGCAAGAGACACCTGGATCCCCATCAACCAGACAGGACAGCAGAAAGTTAGACATGTCCTAGGGTCTCTGCCAACCCCAGAGAGGCAGGTGATGAATATCCCTGAGTGGACTAGCTGCTGATGGCCCTGCTAGTGGACCATTGCTTGTCCCCATGGCTGACTTGTTTTCAGTACCAGTGTGAGAGGTTGCAGCCAAATTCAGATAACTGGGGAGTGCATTATAATTTAGTGTCTTCCCTGCCAAATGCTTAATTTTCAGCCAGACCACAGTTTCCTCTGGTTGTAAAGTAAGAGACTCTGCAGCTAACAACTGGAAGGAAAAGTTAATTCCTCTCCAAGTGGCACTGGGAGAAAAATAGCCAGTCTAGACAAGGCACATGGATAGCAAGCTGCTTCGTGAAGCAGCACATGCAGCTGTGGCTCAGGCATGTTCCCTCTCCAGGGTAAGGTGGAAGCGGAGTTCCAACTGCTGACCGTGGAGGAGGCTGAGAAAAATCCTGTTGGTTTGGGTCGAAAAGAGCCCGAACCCCTGGAAAAGCCTAAGTGAGTATCTGCATTCATCACCTTTTAGACTGGTTGGCTGGTGTCAGGGGTATCTGTGTTTTTGGCAGCAGTGTGGCAAGAGGGAGAATCTGCTCACCAGGAAGTTCAGAGCAATTGAAGGACAAGGTGGTGGGATCTGCAGGACTGGGTATGCCAGCACTTCCCAGAGCTTTGGTGGGTCCAGCAGAACTTGTGATAGCCGCAGCTGGGCCAGGGCTGATCTCAAGAGGGTACTCAGGGCAGCTGTGCTGTAACATCACCTGTATGAAGGGCACCTCTCATTTAACCATTTGAACATACCTGTTAGCCATGGGGGTGCAGAACAGCTCTGCTGGGGCTGTCCTGAGGCTCAGGAGCCAGCTCTGCTGTCAACAGTGCTTTCACAGGGACTGTAGTTGTTGTAGCCCCCAGGGTAATCCTTTCTGGAAGCAGCAGGAAGAGCCTGTGATGTTGGCAGGGCACCAGTGCAGAAGAGCTTATGTGCTGTTCTGTGGCTTGAGCCTCTGCTGATCTCTTTATCCATTTATGTTCCAGCCGGCCAAAAACTTCTTTCAACTGGTTTGTGAATCCTATGAAGACCTTTGTGTTCTTCATCTGGAAGCGATACAAGAAGTACATAATTGTGCTGTTCCTGGTTGCTCTTCTGACTGTCTTCCTGGTTTTATTGATCTATACCATGCCTGGATACATCAGTGAGAAGATCATCAATGGATAAATGGTCTCCAGAACAGGACTATTCAAAGACAAGGGTGATTATTGCAAGACTTGAGGCTGGACCAGAAAGTTTAAGGAAACCCTGCAGGTGCACAGGCAACCTTCAGGGTGAGAGGCCTGGAGAAGTGGCCTCTCTATGAGGAGTCATGTTTCTTGCTAGATCCCCATGAGATGCTAAGAACCCAAGTAGCCAACCTACTAAATAAGGCAAACTCCTTCAAAGACAGTTACAGCTGTGGGAAAAAAAAAATGTTCGTTGTTGACTTCGGGGGGATGGTGGGGATAGGATCACAGATGGGGCTGGCTCCACAGACATGGCAGCTGAAGTCAGCTTTCGCCATTGAGAGCCATTCTGGAAGGGATGGGGACATACAGAGCTATCTGTGCCCTGGCTGGACAATACCTGGCACTTCTCAGGCCTCCTCCTGCCCGAGGAATTTAGAATGCATTGTATGGGGAAAGGCAGGTCTGCTGGAGGGAGAGCCTGGTGGAGTGGGAGCTGGAAAATCTTTGAATGGGGATTGCCAGGGTGCTGCTGCTGGGAGAGGGGGACAATATAGCCAAGGTAACCATGAGCTCTTGTTGTTTCAAGAGCATGGGAACAGAGAGGTCAGCTCTGGACAGGGTGGCACTCCCTGGGACACAGGCTGTTTCTGGTGGTCATGCCTCACAAGTTATTTAACAGCGTTCTCTGCATGTGCTGGGCTGGGTATCAGGCTTGCTTCAAATTTAATTTTGGATCTTCGTTTCCACCGGGATAGAGATATAGAATCATATAATGGTTTGGGTTGGGAGGGAATTTAAAGGTCATCCAGTTCCAACCCAATTCCAATAAAAACTCCTTGGATGCTCTCTCTGACATTGCTTGGGTTTCCTAGATGTTCCCCCAGAGTCCCGCTGTTGCAGGCAGCCTTCCTGAGGCACCTCTGTCCTTCCTTCCAGGTAGCCCAGCGCTGGGATGTCAGCTTAGGGTCGTCAGCATGAATCTGCATTATGGTGTTGGGCTGATGTAAATTAGATGAGTCTTGTTCTCAGCATGGCCTCCATTGCCCCAGGGTTCCTGTCATCTGCACAGACGTTGCTGACACACGCTCTGACATAATTGGATCTCAAGTCAAGGTGCTTCACCATGAGGTTTGACAGGATGGATGCCTTCCTAGTGCAGGAGGTGACAGTGCAGAGTGACAGTGGCATATCCAGTGAAATGAAGTGACAGTGTTTGTTGTTGTTGTTATTGAAAACAGTTGGCTACTTTGTCTTTTGAATGGAGCAGGAATGGAACAAGTTGTGGGGAGAAAATATCCAGCTGTGGAGAGCCAGGCAGGCAGGGTAAGGAGTGGGTGCAGACTCTGGCTGGGACCCTGCAGCTGGGTGTGGGTGAGGGGCAGGCACAGTGCTCCCTGGGGCAGGGGGGTGGTGTTTGCTCCAGGATGGCAAAGGGGAGCCCCCTCTTCCCACCCCTCAGGGACCCCTGGGCTGCAGGGGAGCAAGTGGGTTGTGAAGGACTCAGGGCATGCAGCACCCACCCAGGGGCCTGGGGTGTGACCACTGCTCCTAGCGCAGCGTCACCCCGGCTTTCTGCAGGGGCTGTTGCATGGATCATCACCTTCACAAGTGGCACATGGTGCACTCCAAAATGCCCAGTGTATCACATCGATGTTTGTTGTGCCCCAGCAGGTGCGGTGCACCTCAGCAGTACCTGGTGCACCCCAGGACACCCATGCACACCAGCATGCCATGTGCACACCCCTGAGCTCCTGGGCTCTTGCAGCTGCATTCAGCTGCACTCTCCACTGCACCACCAGGCTTTGACTTGAAATAAAGCATGTCTGTCTCAGCTTCCCTTCAATTTAGGATTGCAGGATTTGCAGCTGTGCCACTCTGTGCATGTATGTGTGCAATGGGCGTGCATGCCTGTCCGGGCTGTGGGTGTGCAAGGCAAGGGGCTCTCCCCTGCTCTTGCTGCTGGCAGCAGCATGACCCCATCCTCTGCCCTGTTCCCCTGCCTGGCCCCAGTGTGGCCTCGGCTCCCACCAGCAGTTCCTTTCCTGGCACCGCCTCACTGCAGCACCATGGCGGCCCTCATCTCGGTGTGCGACTTCATGCAGCAGGTGCAGGAGGACCTCAGCTCGCCCACCACCTCCACCTTCACCAGCCACATGGGCCACTGCAAGGCCACTGCTAACAGCCTGGAGGAGGTGAGCAGGGGATGGAGACCACAGTGGGGGCACCCCCAAGGGGGCTTGGGGGTGGCAGGCCCCATGATGGTCCTGCAGGATCTGTGCTCGTACAGGCATCACCGTGTCATTTGTCACCATGAACAGAGAGCGGTGTGAGTACCTCTGGGTGCTGGTGTGTGTTGCAAAAGGCACAGAGCGAAGGCCTGGCAGAGGCGGGTGAGGGGCTGTGGTGGCCGGGGGACAGACACGGATCAGTGGGGACAAACGCAAAAGGGGTTTTGTGGGAAGGCTGTGTCTCATACCCAGCTCACACTGCTCTGTAGAGAGAAGACAGAGCACTTTAGCCAGTATCACCCTAAAAACAAAACAGAATTAAAGGAAGTTGTTGGGGTGGTGGGAGGGTTACCTTGCTTGTCCGAGGCTGAACTGTGCAATACACCAATGTGGGACCTTCGGCAGCCCAATGCAATTAAAAAATCCATGGAGAAAGGGTGAGGGCTGGTGGCTGAGTGCAGTATCCAATGCAAAACTTACGTGGGCCAAATGCCTTTGCTTCCAGACCCTGATATGCATTGGCAGGTTCTGGGCAGAAGGGGGAAGGGACTACTGTGTGGTCTGGAGGCCCCATGCCCCTTGGTACCTCCTCCTGCTTGGTCTGATAAATGGACTGGGACCAACTAAATAGCATCACCACCACATCACCTCTCATTATTTTGTAGTTTCAGCGGATGAAGGGAAGGTGTCTAAGGCTTTACCAGGGTCTGTCAGTGGATTGTGACCCCCTGTACTGTTCTGAAGTCCCCCAGTGCCTGGGGTCAATTATCTCTGCAGACTTTGAATGGTTCTGCAACTCCATAGATCAGTGGTAGCTACCGAGGCTTTTCTCTCGGCCCTCTGGAGGCCAGAATTTACTCAGAAGCCTTGTGCATGGGGCAATTTCCTTGTGTTGCTTAAGTTTCAACTGTTGCTCTATTATGCATGCTCAAGGCAAAGTGAAAACTTCTGTCCATTAAAACAGAGCTGTCATGTCAGGAAGCTGTGGTTAGAGAGAAAGATGTACACTGCTGAAATTGGTGCTGTCTGCAGAGTTCTTGATTCAGGACTCATGACAGAGGGGACAGAAAACACAAGGCCATGGCTCCCACTGCCGAATGGCAACAAACCCTGGCCAGGCCTGCAGTAAAAGCAGCAGGCTGGTGCTGAGCTGGGATATAAGGGGACCACATTTCATCTTTGGCAACACAGCCCTGGAGGGCTGGACCAGGCAGATGGCAAGGGAAAAAAAGTGGAAAGCTGAAATAAGGCCTTGAAGTATGCCTGTGGCTGCCTCCTGGAGAGCCAGCACTCCTCAGGGTCTTGTCAAGACCTAGGTCAGCCTCCATTTGAGGGTTTGGCCTGAAAACTCAGTCCTAAACACATCTGGGCGAGAGGATGCTAAGGGTTGTGGGTGGCAGCTTATTCCCGGGGAATAAGAGTTCAGGAAAAAATATAGGAAGATAACTTTCCAGCTTAATGCTCTCTGAATACCTAAATGTTTATGGTGAAATCCCTCAGATGACGTGGTCTTTACTGTGCTGACCCATACAGAGCCTGACTCACATCCTCTTCTGCTATTAGGGTTCAGCTGCATGGCTTGGTTGATGTGGTGCACACCAGTGGTACCCAGCCCCCCCTGCTGTTAAACAGTCCTTTTTCTAAAATATTATCTGATTCTCTCTCAGTAACTCTTTTACGCACTGGTATTTAAGATACTCATAGACAATTACCACTAGACCATCACCTACCTGCAGTCTGGCCTGGGGATGCTGAGGCTTGGGCTGAACTCTGCGGATTACAGAAATGTGTGTATGGATGCAGTCAATGACCATAACTTCTGCATTTCTAGGCCTTGGATGCAGACCGAGCTGTGCTGCAGAAGATGAGGAAAGCAGCCAAGGCGGAGCACAGCTGTGGACAAGGTCAGGGCAGAGCAGAGGCTGGAAGCTGCAATGGGTGGCCAGGGGGAGTCCTTGCTACAGGCTGGGTTGTCTGCAGCAGAGAATACCGGTCCCCGGGGTTCCTATAGCTGGGTAGTGGGTATGCGGGGCAGCAGGAGGCAGTGGGAGCTGGCTCTGGAGCTTGATCAGAGCTGGGCATGGTGGCTTCTGGCAGGGAGTATATCCTGACCTTCCTTCTGCACTCACTGGAGACCATCCATGTTTTCCCAGATCTCATCAACCACCTGGCAGCCCACATTGCTGCCCAGGAGAAGTTCTCAGCCAACTACCAGCTGGAGGGTGAGGAGCAGCTGGCCAATGCCTTCAGCACCTTCGCAGCCTTCTCCCAGGAGCTGCTGACCGCTGTCAGGAGCCTGGTAGGCAGCTCTGTCCCCTGTGTGACCATCGAGCAGGGCCCCTGGCTTGCAGGGGTATGTGGGTGGGGAGGGTCCCCAGGAAGAGTCTCTGGTCCCTAGCCTTGAGGCCCAAGCTCATCCCTTTCCTAGACCAAGGCAGGAGCCCATGGTGAGCAGCAGTCGCAGAGCTGGTGATACAGCCTACATGGCCAGGACTTGGTGCTGACCTCAGGCTGATCAGAAGAGGCGAGCTTATGGTGGCCATGTCAGAGCCAGGTGGGCTGCAGCATGTGGAGGATGGGTGTCCCCACCATGCACATGATGCCAACAGGGAAAGGGGTGTACTCAGGAATCCTGCCCTTGTGCCTAAGGCAGGCTCTAATGATTTTGGAGGGTACTGTGTGAAGCCTTGCCAAGGAGCCATCCTCTGCACCCGTTTTCAGAGGCTCATTATGAGTTGGGGTACCTCTCAAGCTCTTCAGGAACAGCTACAAGAGTTTTCAGGAGACAGAAAGCTCTGTTGTGGGCACATTTGCCTAAACTTGGCCTTTTCCTTGTGCTGAAATGACACAGTTTGGGTTAGCAAGGAGCTGGGAGAGCCTTGGGGATCACAGAAATGCTGGCTGCAAGGGTACACTGGAGGTTTCCAGTACAGTGTCCTGTATGAAGCCATGCTCTCCCCAGCACTGGCTTAGGCTGGCTGTGAGTTTTTTCCAGCTTGGTAATTTCCAAGGGTGGAGGCTTTTAGCTGGCTATTTTCCAAAGTGGTTCCTTCTGTGCACTCACAAGCAGATGTTGAAGCAAAATGTGTCCAGTGACACCTGTTGGTAACCTGGCTACAGGTATCAGCAAGGATGTGGAGCATCCCCTGCTATCCTGACTGGCTTGGGCAGTGTCAGCTGCATGATCTCTCTCTTTTCTTTCCAGTTGCAGAGTTTGTACCACAACATTAACTTTTCCCTGGAGTCGTTAATAAAGGGCGACATGAAAGAGCTCAAAGGGGTAAGCAGAAGCTGAAGGTGCTGCTCGGCAGCGGGACTGTTGAACAAGAGGGCAGAGCAGGTACCAGCTGTGGGGGCTTGACCCCGGTTCATGTCCTAGGGAACCCCACTAGGGTAAGCATGAATGCACTCAGCTCTATGATGAGGCCCCCGTGCTGGCTGGGCAAACCAGCTCAGGAGGAGCAGGGACAGTGCTGCTGCTCCCTGGAGCAGATCTGTGCTATTGCTCCAGTGCCATCTTCCACCGCACCTGCGGATACTCTGACAAGCATCCCATGTTTTCTTCTCCATATTTTTTCTTTTTTTTTTTTTTTTCTCTCTAATTGCCAAATATTGAAACAAACCCTTAGGCATCCCATTGGGAGCTAGTGCTACACAGGAGCAGCAAAATGGAAGGAGAGAGCAAATTCTGGAACTTTTAGCATGTAATATGATAAAAGAATATAAATTGTGAAGGAAAAAAGTCTGCTATTTACATTAAGGACAATGTGACAATGTCAAGAAGACATTAGAAACCCAGAAAATCATTCAGAGAGAGAGGAATAAAAACAGCTGCCCATAAGAAGTCATGATTAAGCTGAAGGCATTTTTAATGCGAATCAACAGGAATCACAGCCTGACCTGAATCTGTTTGACATTTTTCATTAGAATGGAGACAAACACAAGATCTGCCCTTATAAGGTTCTGCCTTGACATAAAGAAATTTCTCCTTGAGGGATAGAGAAGCCTTGGGACAAGAAGCCAGATAGAATGTGGGGTCTCTCTCCCTGGGAGTTTTCAACAACCACCTTGACAAAGCCTGGCCCTAATTCAGTGATGCCCCAGCTTGGAGCATGAGGCTGGGCTGGAGACCTCCTGAAGTCCCCCCTCCAACCTGAGGGCCTTACCCAGGGGATTTACCCCATCTTTCTGTGAGACAGAGGTCTGCAGAGCAGTAAGCAGTGAGAAAAGAGAAGTGTGGCATAAATGCATTTAATGGACAAATGCGGTTGTATGTAGCAAGACAGTAAAATCACATGATGTTAGATGAGAAACATATAAGGAATGAACTTGTAGCAGCAAGACTAATTCACTATTGAATGAGTACTCAAGGAAGAATCAGTCTGACAATGTTGCCAGCTTTAGGTGGGTTTCTGATGTCTTTCTGAGAGGTGTTTGTTTTAGTTAAACACAATGTTCTGGCTTCAAAGGCTGAGAAGCTGGTTGCTACTTTCTGGGTTGTGTGCATTTTAGCAATTCCTTCTGCCCTTAAAAATGTGAGTCTGTGAAAGGTTTCATACCTAGGTACTGCATATTTGTGTGGGTGCAAGCACACGCCTGTGAGTGACCTGCACTGGTGAGTGCACTTGTTCACTGCACATGTGGCAGAGGTGAGGGAGAGCCTTCCTGGGGAGGGACAGTCCTGTGGACAGCCATATCTTGGGTCTGTGGGGCTTTACTGCCAGGGTGACCTTGTGGGAATGCAGTATGCTCAGGGTGAGGAAGGGTCTGTCCTGATCATAGTCATCAAACAGTACCTTTGGCTGTTCCTAGGAGTTCAAGAAGCCCTTTGAGAAGGCCTGCAAAGACTATGAGAGCAAACTGTAAGTTGTCAGGCTTCCTTGCCCTGAGACGTGGACCTGGAGGCTTGTTTTTGGCTGCTTTCACTAGAGAGCAGTCAGACGGAGCCTTTCAAGTTTCTCTCCTCTTTCCTTGAGCGCGAAGATTGAGAAGGAGAAGCGCGAGCTGGCGAAGCAGCATGGCATGGTGCGGAGCGAGCTGTGCAGTGGGGAGATTGCTGAGGAGATGGAGAAGGAGCGCAGGACCTTCCAGTTAAACATGTGTGAGGTAAGGACAGGGACAGGGCAGGTGGGAGCAGCTGGGACATGGCACATACCCCACAGGTCTGTCTGGCTCCTCCCTGCCCTAGTTCTTTGTGGTCTGCCCACATGGTCCCTCAGTTGGAGAGCTGCCTGGGTTGAAGTAGGCTCAAGCCAACCTTGGATAGGGGCTGATCAAGGAGTTTAGATGAAGCAAGAGCCTATATTAACCTGGCAGTAGAGATGCAACTGCACCCATCATGGGTCCATCGCTCTCTTGGCCAGATCAGGGCACTTATGTTCATGGGCCCTGCCTGCCACAAACTTCTCACCCCAGAAAAGCCACATAAGCTGCTCCTATCAGGGCCTGACTACCAGGAAGAGCCACAACACACTGCTCTTCGCTGGTAATGGGGGTAGGGAGTGGGCATAAAGACAAGCATGTGAAAGACATTTCTCTCTAAGTTAAACCTTCAGTCACTGTGTCATTTTCCCTTCAGTATCTAATCAAAGTGAATGAGATCAAAACCAAGAAAGGGATCGACTTGCTCCAAAACCACATCAAGCACTGCAGCTCACAGTTCAAGTAAGATGACTGTCATCCTGCCTTCACTCCCCTTCACTCCAGAAGTGCTGGTTTTAGAGGGAATCTGGGAGGTGGTTTAATTTGCAGGACCTAGAGGTCTTGCAGTTGAGTTGGCCTATTCTCTAACATGCCAAAAATTGTCTTCTCCTGGAGGTGGTGGAGACAAGGATCTCAATGTTGTGTGCCTACTCTCTTTAGTCTGACATACTTCATATGACAATATAGGACAGACAGCAGGCAGCTTTCACTGAAATCTGGGATGTGAAGAAGACAGTGCTGAGCACTCTCCCTGACTGTAACTGCTTCAAAGTATATTTAATAAGAAAGCTTTTTTTTTTTTTTAACAATGAAACAAAAGCTTGGGACAGCCCAGTGCTGGCTTTACAGCCAGCACTAAGAGCAGGATTTCAGACTGTGCTCTTACGTTAGCCTCCCCTCTCAGTTTTTTCCAGGAATGTTTAAATGCAACAGCAAAACTGAAGAATTTTACAGAGAAGCTCATCCCAGAGCTGCAGAGTGTGAGTATTCATCTGAGGTTGGGTGCGTCAAGGGGGTGCAGGCTGGAGAGTGGGGATGTCTGCCCCAGGGCTTCCTCTTCCTTCCAGATGAGAAAGTTCTGGGGACTTTCTCATCTGTCGTCATTTCCTGAGCCTGCAATGTGTAATGTGACCCTTTGAGGGGAAATGCAGCCATCACTGGGAGTGGGGAAGTTTTGGTGTCATACCCCAGGGCACAGAATAATATTAAGAAGAAACATAGAACTGGATACCGCAGGCACTGACGTATTCAACTGTCATAGCTGCTCTTCAGGCTTTCAAGTTTCTCATCTGTGCTCCTGGCTTTCCTGCCCATTGCTACTAATTGAAGCTCATCATGCTCTTCATTGGGGGCTTTGTCTTGCTGGAGAAATTCTCACAGGGCTGTGTAAGCCTTGTGACCTTCAGCTTTTGACTTTGGGCTCTGGCAATCATACATGGCCAGGAGACAGGAAGAAGTTTTTCAAAATGGCAAAGTCTATGGTGGGATTTCAGAGCCTGAACACTGCTGGTACCAAGTCCCTCGAGTACTGCAGAAGGTTTATGTTAGCATTTCTAGACCTGAGATCTAGTTTGCCTTGCTCCTCCTTTTCCAAACCTCCTCATAAGTCATGATTTGGGGGGGTCTGGGCTATGATCCTCACCCACAGACTGTGACAGTGTCATTTGTAGTCATTTCCCTGGTCCTGTAGTGCTGCTCTCCTCTGGGCAACTGCGATTTTGTTTGAAGCCATCTGCTCTAGGGGAATTATTCTGCTTCTTTCATAGTGTAATCATTCATATTGAAATTAAAATTCATTATTTAAATAACAAAAAGAGAGGACATGCCACCCTGGAGTGAGGTAACTGAGCACAGCAAACAGCATCTTCTGGGTCGTTCATGCAGACCTAACACCAGTCTTTATTTCAAGGCCATAGTCCTCTACCAAGATCCCTGGTGGAAATGAACTTTTTGATGGCGTGGTGGCTTTTTAATTACTGACACTACCAAACTGGAGGAAGAAAAACAAACAAACCCTACAGCGTCCTTCAAGCTGTTGGTTGTTTTTGCACCACAGAGAGCTTCAGACTGTTGTTTTCTCAGAAAATAACACGGTGGCTGAAGTGCAGACTGCCTTTGCCATGTTGCCGGGGGTTGTGCCTGCTCCCTCACGGAAGTTTCTGTTGAACAGCTTCATGCACAGGCACCACGGTATTGCAGGGGAGGAGCGATCACCTCCCACCTCAGGAATGGGGCTCGCAATGGACCTGGGGAAGTGACGAGGCTGAGGGGCACAGGGCAGGGGCACGGGGCTCTCCTCCTCCTCCCACGTGAACTCTTGCTGTGTTTTGGTACCCTGCAGCTGAAGGCCAGGCAGGACGAGGAGAAGAAGCAGCTGTGTGCCCTTCGGGATCAGCTGAGGGCAGTGTTGCAGCTGGAGCAGAAGGAGGTAAAGCCAGATCCTTCTTCCCAGGGGAGCACCCTCACAGGGCACCGGTTACCCTGTCACTCCTTCCCTCCTGCCCAAAGCAGCCCCAGCTGCCTTCTGGTGTGATCCTGGCTGCTATTCCTCTCCTTCTGCTAGGATACTGGGAGCAAGCAAGCACGGTACAACATGCACCAGCTGCAAGGGAACAAGCAGTATGGCACGGAGAAGACAGGGACCCTCTTCAAGAAAAGTGATGGGTAAGTTGGGATTCGGCGTGTCCCTTATGGTTGTACGTTGGTCCTCTGTGGCCAGCACAGGGCTCACCCAGCCCGACGTCCTCTTCTGGAGTGATAGCAAGGGCTGAAGAGCGGGACAAGCTGCATGAAGGTGTGCTTGGCACTGTCCCAGTCTCCCAAAGCTTTATACACAGGGCTGCAGGCAGCTAGTGTCCATTCCATGGCCCTCAGGGCATTTCTCTCATGTGAAACTGCCTAGTGCCCTCTGAAGCTCCTCATGGATGGGGTGAGGACTTATACACAGGCTGGGTGAAGTTTTCTGCTCTTTCACATGCCTGCCTCCTGGCCCTGACATGTCCCTTGCTTTTCCAACCCTCTGACCCCACAGATCAGTACTGGGCTCAGCTTCCTGCATGAGATTTGGGAGAAGGAACACAAATGTTGTGTGGCTTACCAGCAGCGCAGATCAATGCCACCTTGGAGATGGCATCAAGGGCCACAGGAGAAAGACAGCAGGGAACAAAGGTTCCCCTTGTGCTGCTTCAGACCCATCCTGTGCCCATGCCCAGGAGTCAGATCATGAGCTCTGCTGTCGTTGAAGAGAGGCACTCCAACCGGTGTATGTGAGCCTGAGGGCTGGGGACCTGCACTGGGAGATGAGCAGTCCTGGGAAGGGTCTTGAGTGGTCCTAGAAAAACCTGAAACTGGACAGAAAATAATGAACTGAAGCTCAGGAGTCCACTTCACTGCAGGTTGAAGTTCAGTCTCTCCCCCTTTTTGGGTGTATCTCCTCCATCCTTCTCCCATTTACAGTCTTGGAGGTGTTAGGAGCAGCTTGGAGGTAATGATCCTGGCTGTTTGCTGGGGACATATGCAAAGGTCTGCGTGCTCTGTAGCAGGACCTGCTGCTCCAAGCAATGCTCTGTGTCCGCATTGCCTCTGCCGCAGCTGTGTTACCCATCTGTACAAGCCTGTTCTTATGCCATATGATGGGCCCTTCTCAGTTCAAAGCAGACCAAGAATGACAGACTCTGTGGCAGTATGGATAGGATGGCTGATGAGAGCCATGTTCCCACGCTGTCCCTTGCACAGCTCTTATGCTCACCAGCACTCCTGCATGACGTGATCTGCTCCTCTGCCTGGAGGGTTGTTTGTGTCCTCTCATCCCACCCTCTGCTCATTTCCAGGCTGAGAAAAGTCTGGCAGAAGAGGAAATGCACCATCAGGAATGGCTACCTGACCATCTCTCACAGCATGGTAGGAATTGGTTCTTCTACCCTGCTCTGCTCCTGCCGGGGAGCTGCTGCCTGCCCCTGCTGGGTCAGCTGAGCCCCTGCTGCCCAACACTCCAGTGGCTTCTGGGGACCCAGCAGAGCCCTCGTGCCTGGCACTTGCACTGCTTGTCTGCCCTGCCGAAGCAGACTTCCCACTGAGATCTGAATCCCTTTGACCCAAGGGACAAATATGGGAGGCCCTCACTTGCCTGTGTGCATGGAGGGAGTGAGCCTGAGGACCCGGCACCCTCAGCATGGGTTGGCTGTTGGGAAAGAAAAGGTCCACATTACTGCTTCTTGCATTACTCCTGAAAGCAGAATCAAGGATGAAGTGCTGGGGGCAAGGCAGGTCCGTGGCTCTGGAGCCAGGTGGCGATTGCCACTGCTGGGCCACCACCATTTGATGCCACGAGGCCTGAGTCTTCCTTGTTCCACTCATAGCCCAACCGCCCGCCAGCCAAGTTGAACCTACTGACCTGCCAGGTGAAGCTGAATGCGGAAGACAAGAAATGCTTTGACCTGGTTTCATGTGAGTGCTGGTGCCTGTCCCATGGCTCCTCCAGAAAGTGCCTGGAGGGTGGTGGTGCTTCGGGTTCAGAGACTGAGTGCAGGCAGGGAGGAAGTGAAGCTCTCAGCTTTGGGTCAGCTTGCGAAGTTGTGGTGGGGGGCAGCTGTGCTCAGAAGCAGCAGTGAACACACAGGGCATGAGACGGGCATTGCAGCAGTGTGTGTGTGTGTGTGTGTGGACTGCGAGAGCACAGTTCCTGTGCAGCATCTTAGCCAACACCAGCATCCCTCAATCCCAACACGGGAGAAGGTCCCTTTGCTGGGGGAGCATTATGGAGGGGCCAGGTGGGAAGGGGGTGGCTGTCACCCCGCCGAGCCTGGTGGGCAGGATGGGTGAGCGCAGCGCCCAGGGAAGCACGGCTCTGTGTGTTTCAGACAACCGCACGTACCGCTTCCTGGCAGAGGATGAGCAGGACTGTGTCGCGTAAGTACTGCCAGCAAAGAGCAGCTCAGTGGCAAACAGAAAATGCTTGTCCATCTGCCGATGGGGAGACAGCTCTTCAGCTAATTAAACAGATCACTGCTGCCCTTGTTTGATGCCCTTCCCATCCTTGGTGTGTCCTCATTGCTTTGGGGGCTGGCAGCAAGCAGGTCATGGTGCCCCACAAAGTTTTCTGGCACCATTTTTCTGCTGGAGTCCTGTGGGGAAACTTTGTGCTTGGTGGCTCCATGCAGAGCCAGGCTCTCCCCTGCGGGGCCCCACTCCTAAGTCACTTTCTGCCCACGCAGCTGGGTGTCTGTCCTCAGCAACAGCAAGGAGGAGGCGCTGAATGTGGCCTTCAGCAAGGTGCAGGGCGGAGGGGAGAGCAGCAGGGAGGAGCTGACCCGGGCCATCATCAAGGAGGTCAGAGGCATGCCTGGGAACAGGGAGTGCTGTGACTGCTCAGCACCGGGTGAGAGCCAGCTGTTTGCCTTCCCTTCATGCTCCAGCATCTCTCTGCTGCTGGTCCTGCTGTGCAGCTTGTGCCCTAAGCAGTGGGATGAGAGGCAGGAGATGGGCGTGAACCTAGCAGTGTTGTCTCTGCAGATCCCACCTGGCTCTCCATTAACTTGGGCATCCTGATCTGCATTGAGTGCTCTGGGATTCACAGAGAGATGGGTGTGCATGTCTCCCGCATCCAGTCACTGTCTCTGGACAAGCTGGCAACCTCTGAATTGCTGGTAGGATGCTGCTGGTGTGCTCTGTCCACTGGCCTTCTCATTCTTCTGCTGTGGTCTTTCTGAAACCAGCCTAACTCTGTTAGGTTTAGGGGCCCATACCAAGCTGTAATGCCTGGAGTTTCATGGTTACTGTGGTAGGAACTGTTATCTTCAAGAAGAGGAGGAGAGTATTACTTTGCTGTTCCTGGGTCACCCATCTCCCCCAGCTTTGTCCCGTGGTGCAGGGCAGGACCAAGCCCAAACTGGGATAGAGCAGTGTGGGGTGGACAGGGGCTGGAGGCTTTTCATGGTGCTATTTTAGTTTTGGGACCATTACATGCTCAGATCCATGCATGCAATGCATGTTGGAGCTGGGAGATATCAGCAGTAGGAGTCAGGACAGAGCCTCTGGCTGTGGGACACAAACATCCCCACACCCCTTGACATCCCCCATACCTGGCCAGCATCTCAGCCCCAAGCTTCCTCTCCTGCTGCCACACGTGTGATGCTGCTGCATGTCCCATGTCACCTCTAGCTGGGCTGTTTTGCAGCTGGCAAGGAACATCAGCAACGTTGGCTTCAATGACATCATGGAAGCGAATCTTCCCAGCTACTCTGCCAAGCCTGCGGTGCACAGTGACATGTGAGTTGCTCTGCAAGAGCTGGTATTTGTGGTCATGCTCAGCAGTCCTGCTTGCTCCCTGCAGTGACCAGGCATGTAGCACTGCCCGATCTCCTCCCCAGGCTGTAACTTCTCTTTAGAAGCAATTTCATCAAGCCCAGCAGGAAAGGTTTGATAAAAGAGAACGGAGGAGTGAGGAAGAGCCAGCAGGATAAGAGTCAGGATTGAAGAGACAAAGCTGGAAAGGGAAAGGCAAGAAGAGAAACCTAAAGTGGAGCTGCCAATCAGGACGGCTCTGTGGCTGTGCACATCTGTAGGGAGGATGGCCCTTCCACCACAGGTGGGAGGGTGGAGTGGGGACAGTGACTTACCTGGTGCACTGCAGTAATCCACAGAGCTCGGGTGGTGGCTGGTTCCAGCAGTAGCTGAGGGCTTCTCCAGGGCTTAGTGTCACAAATCTGAGCTTCAGCAGAGTTCTTGAGGGAAACCCATAGCTGGGGTTATCAGGGCTGAGGGGACATTCAGGAGCATGGAGAGGCAGACCAGGCACAATCCAGGTCCATTCCAGGTATGTAAGGCCCAACTAGGGAACCTTTTAGACAGCATGGATCTACACTGCAGTAAATAGATGAGCAAGAATTGGGCACGTGGTTGGCAGACAGCAGGGAGAACCAGAAAATGCAACTGCAGGAGTGGGGTCAGGGTTGCCAGATCCAGCACTGGACTTGGCTGCTAAGAAAACAAACTGTTTGCAGTAATAATAATCGCCCTTCTGTGATCACCTTTTCTGTTGGGAGTGCTCCAGTGCCCCTGGGTCACACCTGCTGCCCCCCAGATCTTCTGGCTGGTCACTGCTTCTGCTGCTCTTGCACCCTCCATCTGGACAGCTTGCTTGGCCAGTCCTCCTCCAGAAGCCATTCCCGATCCTTGCGTACTCTTTCCCAGCTCACACCTGGTGCTTCCCCAGCATCTCATTGCCAGGGAGCTGAGCCCAGTGCAGAGCTCTTCTCTGCTTGGAGAAGAGGCGATAGAGGGGTCTGGAAGTGGTGAGCGTGTGGGAGAGTGGGAGATGAACTGATGCTTCCCTGTCCCTCTCAGCTAGACCTCAGGGCATTGGAGGAAGGTGGTGGGAGCCCTGCTAGAAGCAAGGACAGGAAAGGTGCTACGTTGCCTGGCAGATCTGCAGGAGAGACAGGGAGAGCAGCTGGAGCAGCAGGAGAGGAGGGAACGCCCCTGTAGGCTCATGGGGTCACTCCAGGGCTCCTAACTCTCATTTGGCTGGTCTCTGCCAGGGCCTTCCGGAAAAATTTCATCATTTCCAAGTATGTTGAGAAGAAATATGCCAAGAGGAGCCCTGCTTCTCAGTGTCCAAACCTCCCAGAAGCCGTCAAGAATAAGGACATATTTTCTTTACTCCAAGCTTATGCAGAGAACATGGATTTGAGCGAGCCTGTGCAGGCACCTCTGCAGGTATGGCACCTGGTGGGTGGCACCATCATCAGGGGAACAAAACAAGGGGCTCCTACAGGCAGCTGCACAAGCTGGGGATGCAGGGAGCAGACCCTAGTAGCTTCTACCCACAGAAGGCAGTGGGATGTTTTGGGGGTGTTTGGGAATGTTTTGTTCTTTGACAAAAGAACCTGCAGAGTGAGGAAGGCCATGGCAGAGGGGGGTTTTCGCAGTTGCTGTGCCATCTCCTTTCCCAGCAAGGACACTGGTGGGTGTTCTCCCAAGTACAACTGAAGGAGCAAAATGCTGCCATGAACAAGAATGGGATCTCCTAGGACAAACTGGCAGGCAAGGACCAGTTCCACAGGGAGCAGCTGTTATGCACCCCGAAATCATTACCTTGATGAAGGTCTGCTGCTGGCCTGAGGAAAAAAAAAGTTACCTTTCTTTGCTGTTTCTAAATGTGAAAAGGGATAGATTCTTCATGAAGAAGAATAGATTCCTCATGAAGCCAACACAAATATATAATAAAGGTTCTGGGTAAAGGGCAGATGATAAGCAAATGAGTAGCTAAGCCTCTGAGAAAAATGAGCAAGCTGTGCACAGAGGACAAAGAATAGGTGAGAGTGTGCAGAAAACCTTTCTGGAGAAACATGGCTCTATGGCTCCACGCTTTTACTCAGTTCACATGAGCCTTGGTGGGCATGGCTCCAAAAAGACAAGTAAAACCTGTTTCTATTCACCTGTCAGGGATTTTAATTGTGTAAAGAACAGTTCTTGAAAGACAGAGCTCTTCTCTGGGATGCCAGTGTTGGCAGACCCATCCTGTTTTTTGCTGTTTCTGTCTTGGTTACAGGAACCTGGGGAGACCATTCTCCACCTGGCAGTGCTGTTGTCTGACCAAACCTCATTGCATATTGTTGATTTTCTCGTCCAGAACAGGTAAGTTTAAGACACCCAGTCAGCTTGTCGTGACTAAGCCACTGCTAGTGAAACGTGCAAGGCTCATGGGCTTCTCCAAAATGCTCCCAAAGAAAAGAAGAAGCACCAGGGCAGGCCTCCCAGCAAATGTGCCTTGGGGTGGACTTGGGGTAGCCATCCCTAGATCAGAGGGGCCTTACCTTCCCTCATGTCCTCTGGGTTGAGGTGCAACAGTGGTGGTGACCGCCTCTTCTCAAGCACTCTCCAGGAGACCTGGGGAAGAATGATGTGTAGGCCAGCATGTGGCTGGGGCCAGCAGCTCTCCTCAGATTTGCTGACAATATCCACCTTTTGCTGCAGTGGGAGCCTGGAAAAGCAGACTGTGGTGGGGAACACGCCACTTCACTACTGCTGCACTCACAACAAACCCGAGTGTCTCAAACTGCTGCTGAAGGCCAAAGCCAGCATTGCCATCGGTGAGTGGCCATGGGATCCCTAAGTCTTCTAGCTCTTCTCTGCGAATACCACCCTGACCTTGCTGGAGTGCTCAACAGGGCTAGTCTGAGGCTGGGGAGGTTTGGGAGAGGCCAGTTAGTGACAGTGTTCTGGGGACCCTGCCCATGGGCTGACAGGTCCTTAGCTTTCATTTTTAGAGCCAACCCTGCAATGCTGGAGAGCAGGTAGGAGGGCTGCCAAAACGCAGGTGCCCTGGAGCCCAGTCACAGGTCCTGTCATTTATAGTGTCTATGAATGGCCTCTTCACAACACAGAAGTGAACTTTAAAGCTGGGATCCTGGGTGACATGGGAGGTCACAAATGTTTTTACCATCTGGTACCAGCTGAGTGGGTGGGTGTTCTGAGTCATGCTTCATGGGCACTCCTGAGATGTAAACCATCTCCGTAAACCATCATACTGACTCTTTGTTTCAATCTGGGCTTAGGCTGTCCCTTCTCTTCAGATAATTTTTCCTGTACTTGTTTGTCCCCAGAAGCAGCATGTAGATGTGATGGGATCTGAAGGATCTGTTGATCTTGGTGCCATCAGCACCTCACTCAGCTCCTCTGAGGGTCTCTTCCTGCTTCTGGGGCTCCTGAGCTGGACATGTCCTCTCCTCCTTCCCCCACGACCGTAACATTTCTGCTGCAAGTCTCCACAGGCTTCCTGCATGCAGAACTGCCCTTCACTTCTCTGAAAATGGTTCAAGGTTGCCCTTTCCCCCCACAGCTAACAAAGCAGGAGAGACAGCCCTGGACATTGCCCGGAGGACAAGACATTCCCAGTGTGAACTGCTGGTAGGACATGGTGTCTCAGCCCCTGGTTTTGGGGCACATGCTGGCAGCAGAGCATGGCTGGGGAAGACACTGCATGGATGCTTGGCGCAGGGCCACCCACATCCTTCAGCATCTCCACTGCTGGTGTGGGACACAGAGGGGGGTGCCAAGGGGTCTGGCAAGTGCTGGAACTGCTGGTGCGGGGTCCCTCAGGGCTGGGCAGTTTGGGACAGGCCAGGCAGTGGGACCTGAAGCTGTACCAAGCCATATGGGGTGAGAGCATCTCCTTGGCAAGTCTAAGCCCTGCTTTGGCCATGTCCCAGCATGTATGTTTGGAGACCTTTGCAAAATCCCCAGCCTGCTGGATGGGAAGCACCACTCACAGCTTGCAGTTGTTTTCTGGACAATCAAAGTGTCAGGTCAGGGATGGGGCTGGTGTGGCAGGACATGGCTGGTGGGTCCTCAAGGGACTCCTCAATGCTCCAGCTGTTGCAGGCCCAGAACAACCAGTTCAACCCGCGCGTCGATGTAGAGTATGAGTGGTGGCTGGGCCAAGACGACATGTATGAGAGCGATGAAGACCTGGATGAGAAGGTGAGGCCCCTCCATGGGCCTGAAACTCTGGAGGACTCGAGTCTATGCATGTCACCACAGGCCCTGCTCCCACCACACTGGAGCAGGCGCTCCTGTACTGGCTGATCGCCCTTGCCACGTGCACTAACTTATGAATATCTGTTTCCTAGCTGGGTCTTATGAAGAGGGGGTCTGCCCATCCCCAGAGCTGCTGCCAGCCCCCTGCTACTGCCTCCAGGCTGGAAGCAGCAGAGCCAGTGCCCCAGGGGAGGCAGCTGGACATCTACGCCCTGCCACACACCCACCTCCACAGCCTGGACATGCCACCAGCCCTCCCTTACCTGCCTTCCTTCCCACCCCAGCGGGCAATGTCAGGTGAGATCCTGCGTAGGGTGGTGGGGTGAGCTGCTGGAGCCCATGCAGCCTGGTTGCATCAGCAAAAGATGGGACCCTAATGAGGTGTGAGGGGCTGTCTGGTGCCGTAGGATGCCCTTCTGTCCTCTTCTCCTTGAGGGAGGAAGGCTGGCTTGTGCTGGCTGGTTTTGCCTAGCACTGAGCCCCACTTTGAGGAACAGCATGGTGTATCCTTACCCTTGGTGCGTTCCTGAGCGCTGCGGCTGTTGGGAAAGGCAGAGGTGAACATGTTTAGAGTCAGAGCTGGGAAGAAAAAGCTGCCAGCAGAAACATCAGCATTGCAGTTCTGCTCCTTAGTAAGATGGGATCCTGCTGCCCTTGCCCATTCTTTCCATGGTGTGTCCCAGCTCTGAGAGCTGGAGCTCCCCAGTTCCTCAAGCTGTTCTGCTTTCTGGGAGACTTGCCAAGTCCTGCCTTACCTCCCCTCCATCTGTCCTAACTGTGGCTCCAACCTCACAAATTTCTCAAGTCAGACGTGCAAGTAGAGAAATGATTATTCCTGTTGATGCATTTGTCCAAGTTTTCCCCCAGAGTTTTGCTTTTAGAAGCTCTGCTTGCTGCTGACCCGTGATCTGTTTTTGCTCCCTTTTTAGTTCCTGAGGGGTCACGTCCTCGTCTTCTTACCAGCTCATCCAACTTTGCTGAGGACACACGAACCAGAAGGAGCCCCCCGCTGCCTCTCATCATCAAGCACAAGCGTACATCCTCAGAGCCAGCTCCTTGGGTCCCACTTAGCCCTGAGAAACCAAGTCTTGCCATCCTGGCTTCGGGTAATGAACAGATCAGCCCAGAAGGGGCAAGAACAGGCCATGCCATGGGGATTGGCCATGCTGGTGGGTCTGTGGCCCAGCACCTGCTAGATCAGACTGGTCATGGCTTGTTGAGCTGGGTTACTTGGGGGGCACATTGGAGCTGCACGGCCCAGCTCCCACCACTGACGGCTCTGCCTAGTGATGCTTTTCCTCACCCCAGACTCCACTCTAAGTTTTTCTGCTTCTTAAGCACATCCTCTTCCCCTGGTGCCCCTCTTAACCCCAGAGCCAGATCCTGTTTCCCTTCCTGCTTTCCATCTCAGACAGCTGGGGTACTTTTTTCTCACACTGTGACAAGGAGCAGGACTGTGCTGCACAGTGTTGCCCAAGAGTGGTGGTTGTTGTTGTCAACAGGTGTTGTCCACCTGTGTTTAAAGGTAGGAGGACGTGACCACCCTGCTTGTGTTGTAGGTGCCCTGAAGGCCATGGACTGCCTCTACGCGTCTGTTCCCAGCAAAGCTGGACAGCCTGGCCCACACCAATCCCTCCAAGAGCCAGAGCCATGTTGTGGATATCCCCCACATGTCCCACCTCCTCTTCCTCAGAGGAGCAGTTTGGTAGGTGGTCATGGGCCAGGATCAGCTTAGCTCAGGCTCCCAGGTCTGCCCGGATTTATCACCTCTGGTTTTGAAGTCAGCTGGAGCTGGTCCCAGCAGCCGCTCCTCCCAGCACCTCTACTGTGCCTCACTGGCTTTGACATCTTCCCAACAGATGCTGGGAATTATGTGCATGGGAATGGCAGGTCCCTCCCAATGCACGCTTGGACCCATGGAGATTGCTGTTATTTGCTGCTAACCAAAAGCCGCATGATGCTCCAGTGCCTTTTGAGAAAAGCCTTGTTTGTGAATTCAGGTTGTTGGCAGATCAGGGTGCACTTCTGGACAAGGACAAGGGATCCATGTCCACCTTGGCCCAGCCTCTGTGCCCCAGGGAACATCCTTCTCCCCAGCCCTTTCATTAGGGGGACCTTGCTTGGGTTGCTTGGGCCTGGGTTGTGCTGAGCAGCACCCCTGCCTCCTTGCACAGAGCTGCTCTGGGAACTGGGGCCCCAAACAGTGTGTCCACCACTGCCGCAGTCCTGGAGAAGAGGAGCAAGTGCCTCTGGACAGATGCCCAAGCAGAAAGAAGCCTCTTCTGGGGCTCTGTCCCATCCAAACTCCCAGCAAGTGCTTGCCCACCTCTGCCCTCCCTCCTTCAGGGGAGGGTGGGGTAGGATCATAGAGTCATAGAATATCCTGAGTTGGAAGGAACCCACAAGGGTCATCCCACAAGGGTCATCGAGTCCAGAAGCTGGACTCGATCAAGAAGTAAGGCACTAAATTTATTTTACTAGTGTGTGGCAAAGGTGTGGCACAAGGGATGGAGGAGGCCTGACAATGCTCTCTCCTGCTTGCAGAACAAGCTGCTGCTTCGCAGGGTCCGCGCTCTTTATGACTGCAATGCTGACCGGGAAGATGAGCTGACTTTCCGCACAGGCGAGATCATTGTGGTGTCTGAAAAGGAGGACAGCAACTGGTGGGTGAGTGAACCCATGTGTGCTGAACAGCATTGGGATGCGCACAATTCCCCTCTTCATGCATCTCTTGCCTCAGTCCCAGGACTGTCACACCAGTTATCATTTCCTGCTTTGCTTCTGTCTCTCCATTTTCCTATCTTTTCCTTGACACCTGGGCAACCTACCCTGCATCCTCACATCCTGCATGGACCTCCCACCTCTAGTCTGCTCTGCTGCTGGGACAGGTGCCAGCATGTTCCCTCCCTCTCCTCATGGCCTGGTCAGTCCCCTCACCCTGCAGCAGCTTCTTTGTCCCCCCCCCTTGCATCCCCAGCCAGCTACCCTCTGTGTGGGCATCAGAGGCTGCTCTCCTGTGGGCTGCTGTTGGCCCACTCCAAGGCAGGCAGCTCCTCAGCCCTGATGTGAGGAGAGCATAGGACGTCTTGCCCACTACCATGCTGGCTGGTGTCTCCAAAACAGGACTTCCTTGCCAGCTGCGGTGGCTTCTGCAGCCTCAGCAGAGCCAAAAGGATCCTGTTGTGTCACAAGTTTCTTGCATACCTCTGGGTTTGTAATCCTGCAAACCGTGAGCTATCTGCTCTTGCTGGCAGCAGCATGGTTCCTCCAGGGCAGCGAGTAGGGTTGGGCATGGGTGTAAATGCACACCTCACTTACCCCCTGAGGACTTAAGCAGTAAGCAGTGATTACAGTTGTGGTTTCCTTATCCTTCAAACAATTGCAAACAGCAATTGCAGCACTTTAGGAGAAGCAAATTCAAAAGCTTCATTGTTTGTAGCTAATAACTGATAACCCTCATTTTAAAATGACACCTAATTTCTAACCCAAATGTGTCCAAATTCCTCCATTCCACCATCAAATATATATTTTATATCGGAGAAGAGCTTTTTCTCCTGGATGTTGGTCTGAAAAAGTATTTATAGGCAGCAGTCAAACCTCCTCTTGAGATTCTGCTCCATAAACTATGTAGAAAACTCTTCTGCTCCCTTCTGTAACATCACATTTTGCAATTTGTACATATTCCATCTGTTTGCTTATCTTTCTGTTGCACAGGTATCTCCCATGCCAGGCTCAGCCCCCCCCAGTGCCGCATGGAGACACAGTCTCAGTCCCTCCTCTTGTGCGATGGTTCTCTCTGTTCAATCTTCCTTTTCTCAACCAGCCACAGCATCCTGCAGAGCACTGTTTGGGCTCACACCTCCTTTTTTTCCTTTCTCCTTGCAGAAAGGCTGGATTGAAGGACAGCCTCACAGGCGAGGTGCCTTCCCTGCTTCATTCGTTCATGTGCTCAATGAATAGGAGCCACTTTGATTCAGGAGGGTAGAACTGATAAGCCACTTGAAATGCGACTCTCCCCCAGAACTCCACCTGTGCCCCTGGTCCCAGCATCGCCTCTCCTCCCACAGCCAACCTGCCCCAGAGCACCCCCTGGACAACAGCACTGGGTCCCCAGAGCCCCACATGCCACAGTTTGAGCAGCCTCTGGGGCTGAGGTGCAGGCAGCAGGCACAGAACAGGCCACTGTGCTTTCCCCAAGTGTGGAGAAATTGCCTAAAGTAACTAGGAAAATTAAACTAATATTCACATTTTAAAGAAGATGTACAGCATTGAAAAAGCTTCCAGGGTGGAGTGTAGCTGCACTCCCTAGGCCTCCAACCTTAGATGCTATTGCACTGGGGGAACCTGGTGTGCTGACTGTGAGGAACAATATGGAGCGTAGAGCGGAGACATCGCGGCTAGGCTCTGTGACCAGGTGGGGACCCGACTGTTCTTATGCACACCGAGACCGGTAAGCTACCCTGAGCCAATGACCTGTCATATTTTTGACAAAATGCTGTACCCTAGTGCACTTTTGCTCATTATAATATCATTATAATACCAAAACACACCTCCATCCCAAAAGCTACACGCCTCCAAGGTGCAACCACCCCTCACTGAGCACACGCTCTGAGTTTCTCAGAGCCTATACCTTCAAATGAAAGTGAGAAAAGTTTTTACCAATCATAACCAAGATATGATTGACTAGAGTCACACAAGCTCCACCTTAAAGATAGAAAATAATATAAATTGGCTTAAGAGAAAGGGGATGTTAGGGAAGATACCATCACGAAGGATACCTTCTGACTTCTGGGATCAGTTGATGGGCTGAGCCTCTCTTCCCCCCTCACTGGGACACCATGGGGTAAGATTTGAACACTTGGTTATACCAGGTGTCTATGCAGAAACATAGAAATCCCTATAGAGCCTTTGTGCCTTTTAAAGCGTTAATAGCCAGGCTGTGTACCTGTGTATTTCATGCATGCTAGCTTGCTTTTGCAGACAGTGAATTTATTGCTGGCAAGCCAAAGAACTTGTGTACCTGTTGCTGTAATAAATTGCAATTAATTGCATTGTTCCTAGCCATGATAGTTCTCATTGAACATGACTGGAGTGAGGGTGTGCTACGTTGTTGGTGAATCTGTGACCATGATTGTTCAATACCCTGAATCTGACCGGACCCATAACAGTTAATCAGCTATGTCCCTTAACGTGACACCAAGCACACTGCCTGTCCCGTGCACTGACCACTCTAATGGAAACAGTGGTGCTGTAGAGCCATGCTGCTGCCCTGCAGAGCTATTGGGCTGCGAGCAGAGCTGTGCTGCTGAGCAAACCCTGGATAGTGGCTTTGGCTGAGGATGGGGCATGGCAGGAGCCTTAAAAATTCAAATGAGCTCAGTGGAGCCAGCAGCACTGAGCACTTGGGCTGTCCTCACTGCTTGCGCTGGGTTGAGACAGGGAACAAGATAAAGGATGTTGATTCTGTAGGTCTTAGCTAGCACAATGGTATATTAACAACCTCAAAGATAAGGATGTAAAGGACTGTATGCATAGATAATGGGACCAGCAAGACCTGCCTTGACTGCTGAAGTCTGTCGAAGAAAGAAAAGGTCAGAAGTTTAGCAACAAGGAAGACTTCTGGCCTTCAACAAAAGACCACCAGAGTACACCAGATGACCACCCAAGGACTCCAGTACACGTGAAGAGGGGTGGGAACCTATTTTAATGATTCTTCGGTGATCTGATGAATATGCAAGAGACTTACAGGAAATAAAATGAATAGGTATATAGCCCACTAATATAAGCACACTACCCGTATGGTGCTGTAATAAAGAATACCTGCTTAATAACTTTGATAACTGAGTTTTCACTGTGTCAAGGTTTCAGTGTTGGTGCTCTGGAAAACCTGCTCCGTGTCCGCTCAGTGCAATGCTTCAGGCTGCAGGATGATGGAGAGGCCCTGTGAGTCTGCTGCCAATAAATACTAGTGCTTCAGGAGTTTGTGTTGTGCAGGGCTGTTCTGGTTTAGGTTTCTATCTCTTTCCCCTTTGCCAGTCCCCCTCAGGCATCAAACCCCCTTATGGGCAGCAGAGCAAAGCAGGGCTGACCTCCCCTTGAGTGAAATCGGAACAGTTTAGATTGCACGGCTTTTCTCCATGGGCCAGCTTTTTCCAGTTGCCAAGGCACATTTTACAGCCTTCCTTACTCCTTCCTGAGCCAAAATCCTGTCCAGGTGACCTAAAGAAACCAGCTGACGAGGCACCGGGTGCACAAGGCTGTCGAGACCTCTGTGTTTTCAGCAGAGGATGAACCATCCCAGCGTAACCTGCAGGGTGCAGGACAGCAAGTCCACGCCAGGCATTTTCTCCCGCCTCCAGAGGTGTGATTTTTATGCTGAATTGCCTGATTTTACGCTGAATACACAGCCCGCAGCTGACTCCACCATTTGCGGTGAGGCTCCGGGCTCCCTCACTTCCCCTTCCTGCGGCAGCCATCACAAATAGCGCTGAGCGCTGCTGAGTGTGGCGGTGTCGCCTCTGCCCAACCGCGCTCAGAGGCACCTCCTCCAGAATGAGAGGGCCAGGCGACAGGGGGATCGCAGCACCCGGGGAGCCCCTTTCCCATCTGCGGGTGTGGGGAGCAGCGTCCCTTGGGACTGAGCGAGGCCAGGGACGGGTCTGTGGGCTGCTGGTGTGCCCCAGTACCTGTGCTGCAGTGCACGTCTGGGTGTGGGGCTGGCGGTGTTTCAGCTGCCACAAGGGTGTGGGTGGCCCTGCTGCAGAGGTCCCGTCAGCAGAGCAGGGGCTGTGTGAGACTGCTTGTCCCTGCCCCCCACCCCACAGGGCCCTGCCCTGAGCCTCTTGCCTGCGATGGGTGACTGCAAAAAGCTTCATGAACTGTGCTGCCTGATTCCCCTGGCTCTGGGCTTAATGGAGCTGCTGGCACCGACTGTGTGGCCCTCAGCCAGAGCATCCTCCCTCAGGGGCTGCGGGTTAATAAACCCAAGACTGCAAGCTCCTGAACCAGCTTCCCTCCTTCCCCGGGTGACTGCAGGCCTGGCAGGTGTGTCGGAGGGATGCTCTGTGCCTCCAGCACAGCTGCTGGTGGGGGGGGCACAAGCTGACATCGCAGGCTCGGCACTGGGAAGTCTTTGGGGCGCAGAGCTGTCATTTCATGGCCTGCTTTGAAACTGCGCTTCCTGCACAGCCGTGGCTGCGCTTCCGGCATGCTTCTGTTGGCTTGTGCGCACTTCCCCTTGAGAAGTAACATTTAGCTTGCCCGTGGAAGGACCGGCAGGGAGTGACTGCCTGGGACCAGCCAAATCTCCCACCTCTGCTCTTGGCTCAGACTCCTAGGAGGAGCGGTTTTGCCGTCGGGGGCACGTTGCGCAGGTCCATTTTTGGGCAGCTGGCTGGACACCACGGAGAGCAGGTATGTCTGTGCTGTCGGAAATGGTGACTGTGGAGACATGAACCCGGTTCTCACCCGTGGTCCTTTCTCTGGCCTGGATTTGCCTGCAAGAAAGGGGCTGTGGGGAGCACTGAAGCCCCCCCTCCCCATGAGGGGCAGGAGTGGGTCCCCGTCCTTCAGCTTTCCCGGTGCAGTGGTGAACCCCCCAACCTGCTGCTCCTGACACCACGACAGAGGCTGTCCCGCTGTCCTGCTCGTGCACTCACGTGGCTGCCTTGGCCCATGGAGTCAGGTACTGAGGTGCTGGGCATGCTGTGGGGAAGAAAAAAACCAACAAACCTTTTTCTTCTGACTAGCTTTATGGAAGTCCTTTTAGATGGAGGACAGGAACGTCACTCACAGCTAAGGCTATTGAAGAAAGGTCCGCACAGACACACACACGCACGCACCAGGTAACCACTTCTTGGTCCCCCTTGCCGGTGGAGATTTGGTGCTCCTGAAGCCTCAGAGTCCCCGGGCTACCAGGGAGCAAGTGCCTGGCCGGCCATGCAGCACCTGCATGCTCCACTCCGCGAGTGGTGGCGGGGAGGCTTCCTGCGGGGAGGCTGCCGGGCTCTCTGCCCGCATGGGGAGTTGGTGTAGGGAGGCGTGGGAGCCGCTTTACTGGTGCACAGCCTCCACTCTGCAGGGAGCCAGAGGCAGGCTCAGGGCTGAGATGAAGAAGCTTTGCCACCACTCATCCATAGCATCATTCACAGACGCTAAAAGTGCAGCAGGCAGAGCGTGGCGCCTAGCATAGCATGTGTTGCCAGCTGGCCCTGACCTGACCTGCGTAACTGTCACAGTGTCAGGAGCAGAGCACAGCAATAAGGCCATTGAACGGTTTGGAAAGGAGACCCGAATTTCAGGTCTATAGTGGGAAGGTGAGTGGTGAAGTGGTCGCAGGGTGGGACCCCAGTGTGTCCCAGGAGTCTGGGCAGAGTCCTGCTCCTGCCAGCAGTGCCACTGCCACCAATCCTGGTGTCATCTTGCTGCAGGTGGCATGAGGGATGCAGTGCCGGAAGCGCACACAGGTGGTGCTGGCCCTGTGCCTGCTGCTCGTGCTGTGGCAGTCTTTCCAAGCCTCCATTTCTGGCCTTGGCCACCTTCTGTTCACTCCCTCTCTCTCTGCTGCCCGTCGCCCACCCCAGCCCACTGCCCGCTGCTCCCCCAGCACCAACACCTCCGCCTGGTTCAACGCTCACTACGACGCAGCCGTGAGGCCCCTGCTGACAGGTGCAGCCCACGAGCTCTCCCTGGATGTGGTTCAGTGGTGGCTGGTGAGTGGGCGCGTGGATGGGTGCTTGAGGACTTTCCTGGGCTCCCCAAATATGCATTCAGAGGATTCTTCCATGCCCATTGCCCTCCCCTCCCCCCCTCCCCCAATCCCCCTCTTCATTCCCCTCATCCTTCTCCATGGCACTCAGGGAGGAGGGCGGGCTCCAGGCTGGGGGGGCTGATGCTATCTGTCCCTGCCTGTGCTCCCCCAGACCCTGCAGGGCCCCTCCGACAGCAGCCAGCTCCAGGCCATAATCCAGGAGCTTTTCACCGTCCTTCCGGCCCTGAAGGGAAGCGTGTGGGACCCATCCCAATGCAGGCGCTGCGCTGTGGTGGGCAACTCAGGGAGGCTGAAGGGGTCCCACCACGGCCCACGGATTGATGCTCACGACTGGGTGCTGAGGTGGGTGATATGAGGGTTCACATCCCCTCCTTGCTGCTGGCCAGGGTCAAACTACATCCCTGCCCAGCAGCCCGGGTCTAGCACGGCATGCACATTCCTTACGGGCCATGCCTTCCTGCTGTCTCCCAGGATGAACAGAGCCAAGACAGCAGGCTTTGAAATGGATGTTGGCACGAGGACAACCCATCACTTCATGTACCCAGAGAGTGCGATGAACCTCTGGCCTGGCGTCCACCTTGTCCTAGTCCCTTTTAAGCCTCTGGACCTGAAGTGGGTGACCAGTGCCTTCTCCACAGGAGAGCTCTCACGGTGCGTCCCCTCTGCCGTCCTGGGGCCTTGGGGATGGCACCTCTCTTGCTGAGGAGCCTGGAGCATGGTGTAGGAGGCAAAGGGCTCAGAGTCCCTTGAAAAATGCTCTGCCCCCTCTGCACTGCAATGTGGGGAACCAGGTGCTGAGAGGTCCCCATGGGTCTTGGGCATCCTGCATCCCTGTAGCCCGGTGAGCAGGATGGTGTCTGTCCCCACCGCGGGGCTGTGGGCTTGATGCTTCCCTTTCCAAGGCCAGGCCAAGGGACACCACGGGGCCAGCTCAGGGGTTGGGGGGAGTGCCATTGGCCTGGTGTTGGTGGTCGCAGCACACCAGCTACTCCTGAAGGATTGGCAGCTCAGGTGTGTCACACTGATGGCTGTCCTCTGGCTTTTGCAGCACCTACATGAGAGTGAAACAGTTCATCAAAGCTGACAGAGACAAGGTAAGGGCTGGGCAGGCACCTAGTGAGCATCCCCTCTGCTCAAGCACCTGATGCTGGAACTTTGGGACAAGGGGGATGAAGGGTTGGTGGCCACCAGTGACCTGGCACTGCCTTTGGCTGTGAGGTGACCCCAGAAGTTTCTGCAAGGCAGTGCAGGATTTACAGCCAACTCCTCGTGTCCAGGCAGAGGCTGGGTGTGTTTTCTGGGAAGGAGGCAGCAAGAGGGGTGGGGGCAGAGCTGGCAAGAGGGAGGACTCGTGTCTGTGCTGGTGGCAGGGTCTGGCTGGTCCATTTGCAGCTTATTGCTCCTCTGCCCTTGCTCAGGTGCTGATCCTGAACCCGGCTTTCCTGAAGTACATCCATGAGACCTGGCTGCAGGGCCACGGCAGGTATCCCTCCACTGGCTTCACAGCGCTGCTGTTTGCCTTGCATGCCTGCCAACAGGTGAGTGCAGCCGCAGGTGCTCTGCTCTCACGGGGAGAAGGCTTTTCCTTGCAGCTGTGGAGAATTTCCTTTGCTGCAAGTTGTCTGTTACCCCTCGTGGTATTTTTGTTGGGTCTGGATCCAGCTCCCCTATAACACCACGCTGGTGCAGGGAGGCGCAAACTGGATGCAGCACTCAACCCACAGCCTCACAGTGTGGCGTGTGGGTGGACATTTGTGGCCCTCAGCTGCTGGCCACGCTCTTGCTGGTGGAACCCGGGACGTGGTCAGCTTGGCTGTGCCCCCTCACCCCATCCATTTCTCCCAGGCCCTGGTGCTCCGTGCCCAGAGAGGCCTTCTCCCACTCTGCAGTGACGGCTCTGCTAGAGGGGGAGGCAGGCACTCGCTGCAGGCTCTTGGGCTAACCGAGTGCCCATGCAGCAATGGCTCTGCTGGCCTGCCCGCAGGTCTCTGTGTTTGGCTTTGGAGCAGACAGCAAAGGGAACTGGCATCACTACTGGGAAGAAAACCGTTGGTCCGGAGCCTTTCGCAGGACGAGGGTCCACGACGCTGATGTTGAATTCAGCCTCATCCAGAGACTGGCAGCTGAAGGCAGAATTTTATTCTACAAATGACACATACCCAAGAAACTGAAGACAAGCTGCTAGCACAAGAACTGGCTGCTGGCAGCTGGCGCAGCTCTGTAGATTGCTTCTCCCCTGTGCTGCTGTGTGCCTGGGCTGGCCATAGCACCTGGCCAGAGGTCTTGGTGTTGGTTGTGCTGGGCCCAGCAGCTTGGCTCCATGAGCATGAGTGGCAGTGGGAGCTCAGTTTAGCCAGGAGGATATTTTCTGCAGGTCCAGGTCTTCACCAAGCAGGACACCGAGGGGCAGAAGTGGGGCTCACTGCTTGCTTTCAGAGCTCTAAGACTGCACGGTTGACAGCCCAGGGAGGCTGCAACTGTGGCCATGTTCACGCAGCCGGCTGTGCCAATGCATCTGTCCATGTGTTGGGGCTCAAAATTTCCCCCCTCTGACGGCTTTGGGGGAGGTTTATTGCTGTTCTTTGGGCAGGCACAGAAGGGCCTTCCTTTTTTTTTTTTTTTTGTATATAACTAAGGAGTATTTTCGTATTGTATCAAAGAAGACTAAGACATGAAAAAAATCAAGTATGCTAAGTCTGAATAAAGCAGACTTAAGTACAGCTAAAATGATCATATGCTGAATAAACTTTGAAAGCGCACGTGGAGCTATTATTATTTGTTATTATTATTTGTTTTGCTTTACTGCTCTTTAAAGGCAGTGCAAGTGATCTCAGCCCTTCTCTGTAGGAAAAGATCGCATATCCTGAAGCCTGAGCGCCATGAAATAGGTTTCCTCCTCCAGAGCAACATTAGCAGATGCTGCGATTGCTGGCGCTCTGCCTCCCTGACCAGGGACAGAAGCAAGCACCTCCCCACGCTCCATTTTTTGCTGATGCACTGGAACACACACTCCCTGTTCTGCAAGCAGGCTGCTAAATTCAAAAGCTTTAGCCACCCAGTTCAAGCAGATTCTTTTAAAGTAGTTGCAAAGAAATAAATAGTTTTTCAGATATCTTCTGAGAAACATGACAAGCATGGGACTACTCAGACCCCTGCTACTCATTCTGCTCCACAGAGTGCAGTGACCAACACAGCAGCTTGTCATTTCCTTTCAGTCACAAACATGAATGTCCTTGAATCAGACCAAGCTTTGTCATTGTTACATCATATTAGTTACTTGGAAAGTCACCAGATCTCAACTGCTCATCAACTTCCATTTTACAGCAGAAACCTGTTATCATCCCTGATCTAACCATTAGCTTCACTTAATTTCTGCCTCTCCAAGTAGAATCCCCATTTCTGTGCAAGTTTTGCTTCTCCTTTAAGGATCCCTCAGCACTTGCTATGCTAACAGTACAATTAAGCTGCCATCTCTCTGCTCTATCCTGTCTGCAGACCAGATGCTGCTCTTTGTTATCCGGTCCCCCAGAGAATGCAAGTCTTGCACTTATCCTGCCCATCACCTTCCTTGTGTCTTCTCCAGGTGCTAAGCAGTGCTCTGTGTGATGATCTCCAATGGTTTTCTGAGGTTTACAAGTAACTGGCTTTCTTGCCAAAGTCAAGTGATTAGCTGCTTTAACAGTGAGTTAAACTCTTACTTTGTTATTTCCATTTATTTTCACACTCTTGATTATTCTTTCAAATTTAGTCACAAAGCTGTGTGCTCTAACGAGTGACTGAAGGGCCTAGAACAGTTCAGCTCACTTTTTGTTCCCAGTAACAGAGATACCATCTTCCCTTCTCCCATTGCAGCAGAACAATATGATCCTGACCTGACGGACTTATTAAATATCCTTGTTTCAAATACGTTTTTTACAGACCCGTTTTTTCTATCTTGGAGATTAATGAGTCACCTTATCCACACCTCAAATTGCTTCTCCCTGATTGATAAACATAGTTTTTTATAGTACCTGTTTTGAAGGTCTGTTCAACTAATCTAAAAAAAAAAAGTATCATTTGATTCTGTGCCTGTCATACTCACCATGCACTACTGGAATAAACTGTACCAATCACTCAGACTACGTTTAGAGTAAACACCAAAGTAAATTTAGAACTGAGATTTAAGAGCACTGAGTCTGTTTTGCCTCAAAGTAAGTCAGGAATTCATATATTTTATTTTTGCCTTCTTGTTTTCAATTTTCTCCCACTCCAATTTTACATAACAACCATATCACTCACTTGCGTCGATCATTATAAAGAAAAAAAATCACCATCATAGTATCTTCACCCTCTCCCACATTGCATGTATTTTTTATTATAATTTCCAATTCAATACCAGGATTGGTTCAAATAATTTAATTATTCTTCCAAATGCTTTACCAAAACACAGAGGATGGACTTTATTACAAAATATAAACAGAGGGGAAGTGCAAACACAATCCAATTTTAAAATTATTTAAAACTCCAAACTCTTTTTTTTTTTTTTTCTTTTTCCTGAAATATTAACTTGCATCTTTCATAAGAGCAATCTGAAGCATCTGCAATGCCCCATCATACAAAAAGCACATCCTGAGTGCCAGGTCTCATCACATTGCCCTGGACAGCAGGAAGGAAAGCACATGGGATTCAGCACATTTCCACAGATATCTGGCATACACTGTCAGCACATTCAGAAACTTTTTAAAGAATAATTTAAAAAGGATGGATGGCATTGCCAGAAAGTTTATTTGATGTCAACTTCAATCCATCGCAGGTCTCATGACAGCACAGTACATTATTCCTGGAGTCAAAAAGAATGCAGTATCTCCAGCAGCTCTTTCGGCGGGCAAACTGGATGAACAAGGACTGACACAAAAGGGCTTTTACAGTAGGGCCTGCACAGCCAGACAAGATGGCTAATGAATCTTTATAGCAGCGAGTTTCAAGCAGTTCAATCCATAAATTAACGCCAAACAAAGGATGATGAGACATTAAGAGCCAGGAGTTGGGGCCATCTGGTAATTCCAAACCTCTTCTCATGTGCACTCAGAAGATCACATGTATTTTGAAAATCATGTTTAGTTCTCCTTACAGTTTTTTTTTTTTTTTTAATGTGTGGGTGAGGTCACTGCTTATTTATATTGCCTTCCCGAGTTCGATCTTCTTCTGGATGGCACGTGCTGAGTGATAGATCAAGGAGTCAATGAATCCTGCAACTGAAAGGAAAAAAACAGATCAAGCCAGAGAAGCCTCAAAGAGGGATCAACTCTCACAGAAAGAAAAAAAAATCCTTCTGTCAGTGGAAAGGAATTCCAGTTCCACCAAGACAAAAAGCAGCTGCTGCTGCTCAGAAGACTAAGGTCTTCATCTCATTAGGAGAGACAAGATCCAGCTTGCAGGGCAGAGGTGACCATGCTTCTCCAAAAAAAGTAAAACTCTCAAACAAGTAAAAATGAGGCTAAGATGAATCACATATGCTTACTGATGAATTAGAAAAGTTTGGAAAAGAAGTTGATTCTGCAAACTTTATATCATTCTACTACCACTCTGACCCAACTTGCCAAGGGTACGTTTTCCATTTTTTGCTTGTTTCACAGTAACCTTAAAAGTAAGCTCTTCTACCTGATAAAACGCGTTGCCCTTTACAGATGCCCTTTCTAGGAGATTGCAATGATTAACCACCAAGGACACAAAATAAACTGATGCTTTAGTACTTTCTGCAGTATTTTCCCCAAATCTCTCCAGCCAGTACACTGAAGATGCCTGTTAACTCGGTGCTTGTTTGTGACCACAGAAAAGGTCTACTGCACCCCCAAATCCAGGCAACCCAGCTTTCACAATACAGGAATTCTGAGCTACTCCCTTAGCTCCCTCTTTTTCTTGAGGGTTCACAGGGTAATTTACCCATTGAAACATTACACATTGAAAATATCTTTGCTTACTGGCAATGATATTTTCAATGCCTTTATGAAGCTTCATTTTTATTTTATTCAACAGTCTAAGAAATAAGTGGTTACTTGATCCTGCACAACTACATATATTTTAATGCTAGTTAGAGTAGCAGCTAAAATGGGAACTGGTTCTTCTATTCTAAGGTTGGAATAGATGATCTTAGAGGTCTTTTCCAACCTGAATGATTCTATTGCTATAGAATATAGAACTACTAGTCTTGCTATCTGGTCTTTCAGTAATACCCATGGTGACTTTTGCCCTGAAAGTATTTCTACTTGTGGAACCAATTTGATGCTCTAAGAAAAAAAGAGCTATGACACAGCTGATTTGATCTGTCCTCTAGCCAAGAAAATAGTGCAGATTTCAAATAGTATATGAAAGACTGCATTATTTGAAAACAAAATATCAGATACTCCCATAGCTCTGTAGAACATCTTGCATCCCCTCCTGAAGGCTAAAATCACCTTTCTCCAGTAGACAGGGGTTTATTACCAGCTATGAAGACTCTAGAAAGAATAAGATGGCAAGTGTTTACTCTTTAGAGAGAGAAATAATTTAAAGGTGCAATACCTGTAAATATGCCACCAACAATGGCACAAACTCCTGTGAGAAAGTGTGTGAAGGGCCTAAAATGAGGAAAAGAATTTGAACAATCAGCACGAGCTCAGTATGACAAGTAACAATACAAACCAATTCATAATTATCATTATATTAACTATACTACGTAAGCATGCATCATATAAATATTAACAACTGACAACAGGTTCAACAATTAAATAACCACTGTTGGCTACAGGATGAAAAAAGTTTCATCACTGAAACTTTTACTAAGAAGCACCACTGTATTCAGTGCAGTCTAACGAGCTCAGTGGCAACCCCAGGAAGCAAATACTGAATTAATAAACCTAAAGGATGGCATTTCATTGCTAAGATTTCAGCCACCTGTGCTCAGACAGAATGCACAGACTGCTGTAAGAGAAAAAAAAGAAATCCCTAGGCACATACTAATACATTGTAAGGTATAGAATTTGGCTGTTCAAAGCTTTGACAGCTGTAACTCCTTCCATTTCCCTGCAATTACAAACCTGTGGTTAAATAAGGACCTGGAAAGAAGCAACAAGTTTCACACTGACTACAACATGAAGAAAAGATACAGCAAATGCAGAGTAAGTAAACAAGTTGGATTGGAGCAGGTGCCAGTATAGGTGTTTGTAAGGTGTTATTGGACAGTGAAAATGATAAATTGCATTTGTATCTATTGGTCAGTCACATTGGCTTTGCTACATAAAAGTAGTTTTCCTATTATAAAGGGATTTGAGGGCATTAGTCTAAACTAAGAACCATTATATCAGATTTCTATACGTCTCCACTCTGATACTGGATTAAAACATTCCAGGGAGTATTGGAAAATCCCAAATCTGTTACAGATGTTCACAGTAAAAGGAAGTGCATTGGGGAGTACCTCATCCTCTCTGCTGACTGTAGAGGAGCTTGGCTGACTCTCAGGCATGTGCAGTCATTATCTAAGCGAGGACAGTGTTTTAAGCTATGCAAAATGACAAAATCGATACAGTGAACGAAATACACTGAAATGTCTCTTACCTGTGTTTCTCTGTCAGCTTCACCATCATGGGTGACAGTTCATATAGCACAAATACACCAGGCAGACCTTGGTCCCCTATTAGCCCATTGGCTATTTTCTCATGTCGTGTAACTGAAAACTGGTTAGTCCTTACCACCTAGCAGGAAACAAAAGCAGTAAGCATTGTTTTGTTAACAAGGAGTAGCAAAGGCTACTAAAA